AGCTAATAAATAGGGTTTTCATACTGAATGAATGGCTTACTTTTTATTTAATTTCGAGTGACCATATATTCTTGAATTTGAAACTAAGGAGAGTTATGAAAAATTACATGTTTAGGCAAATAAATCAAGTTATGCTATTATCTCTCTCTTACATCTGTACTTTGACATGACACTAAAATTCTTCACGTTTTCGTTTATGCTATTTTACTATTCAAGATTAACACTCAAGCTGTGCACTATGTTTGGATAGATATGGTTATAGAAAGCTTTGTAACTAACCGTTGACTGCTTTCCCCTTGATATGCTTCATTGTTTAGTAATATACTAATAACTAAGCATTTTTGCATAACCTCCACCTAGCATCATATTTTAATGCCTATTTTTATATAAATGAGCGTGAAAGCCTCGTGCATAATGGATTAACGAAATTATCCATTCAATAAGCGAATATAAGCAATAGAGCCAGGATTTTTTAAATAATTAAGGTATGCAACTCTCAGGTGTAGATATTCACTTTTGGCGAAGATACGCCATAGGTCTTTGAAAACTTCTTTATTTAGCTATCCAATATGAAGTGGAGCGTAAGCATAGCATAGTTTCAGAGCGAATTTAACGCTCTGTGCGATCATCTCGCGTAAACCTTTGTTTATATTTTGACTTTTGTGCGATCTGAACTAGGTTTGGTGCGTGTCAGGATGCACATATGCTCTCCACTCTACTCATATATTCATTAAGAATTTTATTAACCCTAGGCAACAACACTATAAGGTGATATGTAGTGATCTGAGTAGCCCTCACGTTTCATTTGAATTCTACTTAGCCTTGCCTCCCAAAAGGTATTCTCCTCCAGAGTGGAATACAGTTTCTTTCTCGTATGGGTCTCATAAGCCTCCCCCCCCAATGAAAATTGGATTAGGGTAGTGCTGTGTACCTTTTCGATGTCCCATAACTTAGTCACACTATCAAGGGTGCCAGTGAATCACAGGGTAGACTTGATTGTTAAGGCTAGCCATTCCCCTCCCACATCAAAGTTATATGTGGAATGTTGAAGAGGCAAACTTGTATTACGATTATACTCTATTAGTCCAGTAGTAGTAGTTCTCAATAAGAAATATATTCACCCGAGGTATAGGAAAGGCCTGAATACCCTTCAAATTAACGCTTGCCCAGTTAGCCGCTGGCACCTACCGCATCATGACGCATCTCGATATAGGGTGAATACAATTACCTACTGGTAACTTCGAAACCTATTCATTATTAATACATTTAATCCTGTAAAGTGACATGTGTTCATTATATAACGATTGCAATTTTACCATCCATGCCAGCAATTCTAGCAAGTTATTTTGGGATTACCGTGGTAACTGACTTATTGAGAGGCATTTTATTATGATATGACAGCCACTCATTCTGAGATTAATACTTATTTAGTTAACAAATATGATTTTGATTTTTGTCTGTGGCTAATATCTGATTTTTAAAACATTTTTGATGCATCGGGCAAAATACTTGGTTTGCTAGTGCTTTGGTTCCAAAACTCTTCTACCTCCAACACCTGCAGATTTTGATCATCTAGGTTCTCACTTTCACTTAGAGTTACAACAAAATCCATCAACCGTGCAAACAGAGTAAGTATGCCGGTCCCCATACTATGGCTTCGTTTCTCTTGATTTTCATCACCAGGTGCGCCATTTCAACCTACATATACACTGATGAGTTCCATTCAAATCATTGCCTATTGAATTTAATTGTGGTATTTTGTTTAGACTCTCACAACCTTTATTGGCCAGCCAGTTACTTAAATCTTGCTTAACTAAGACGGCCTGACAAAGTATAATCAAGCCGGAGATTCTATCGTGGAGAAAAATGCCTTGGTTTAAAACATCTACCATCGTACATCTCGTAAAATAAACGCTTTTTAATAACCCCTCATAAATAACAATTCTAGCCCATCTATACATTAGTTCAATCAGTAAAATCTCTTTTGTGTTTGGCTGAAAATTCCAAAGTCACTACTCGATAAATGTTTGGCTTTGGACGCAGGTTATCTTCTCCATTTAATGCCATCTATAATTGCGTATGATTGGCAATCCTTCCGTTTTTGAGTCATTGTTTTCCAAATTATACAGACTTGATTGAGACGAGCATTTTAAACTTTCGCTCGTTCACACTCAATTATATTTTTTTGACAGTGGTAATTCTCTTCATATTACTCCAATGGAGACTAGTAGTTTGGTAGCTCCGTCACTCCTTAGCCCTGCTCCATGTATGCGTGACGATGTGCTTTATTCCGTGGCCCCAATTTCCCAACTATCATAGTGAATAGTTAATAAGTCTAAACATTTTTTTACACTTGATCAGCATTCTTTTAAAAGATTATTACAACTGGCTGAATGGCTCAATCTGTACTGTCTGAGATCTGAGTTCTTATCATTTCATGAAAATTACGAATTTGGACATTCAAGAATAGGTATAGGATTAGTGCTTTCTTAAAATTTTCTTCAATAATATTTACTATATATTCTAATGGTTCTTTTATAGGTTAGATCCTTTGCCCTTTAAGATGCGTTTATCAGGCGAAACCAGCCTCTGAAGTTGTTTGCTGTATGATGCTTGTCTTGCTAGCGATAATATTTCATATTTGTTGCTCGTTCATTTTTATGTTTGTTTTGGCTAAAGAGCTTAGCTGAAACTTAATGCCTCTTAACTTAGTTCTACATAGTTGTTACCAGCTATCGACTGATGCTTCTGTGGTACATTTGTCCAAGAGTCAAAGTATAAATAAGGCTGATAGCTGATACATTGGGAAATTGTTTCTTCAAACGATCAATATTTTCTGCCGTCCCATAATGGAATTGCAGGCCGATTTTTTTCGAGGAAGCGCTTTATTTTCACGGCTATTTCAAGATCGCACTCGATGGCGAGCCTGAGCATGTAACATTAGTTTAGGGTCTTGCTAGCTCGGCTTTGTAGTGATTTATGGTGCTGCTACTGAGACTGCTCGTGATAGTCTCGATTTGGCTAATATATTTCACTTATAAAAGAGCGTTCTCCAGTTGAGGCAAACTTTTATGGCGAAATCTGATTCCTCTCTCTCCTCCAGTTCATTACTGGAAACTTCCGGGGCTTGGGCGATTTGTCATCATTATCATCTCCACAAGTTTGAAGCTTTGGTTGTTATTCTTAAATTTCTTATATTTAACCCTAACGATTTGCGATCTATCTTTAATTCAATTTACTTAGGATATGTTTAACCAAGAGCCAGGTTTGTATACTGCTTCTCATACTTTAATAAGCCTACCTCATGCCACTTACTCGCTTTGTGCGCGTTGTCAATTAATATCTCTAAGCAACCTGTTAATTTATCGGAAGTAATAGGTCACAAAATTGGATACTTTAAATTGAGCCTTCACTAAACATAACACAGCCGCTTATGGATATGTGAGTCTACAATAAAGAATTCTCCTGAAAAAGGCCTATTTTGTTTTGAAAGTCCTCTCCTCTTTGTAACTTGACAGTGCTTGATTCGCCAGCCCATGTCTCTAATCTCATATTCTCAGTATTTAAGTTTTGCTGAGAGTGATTCCTCTGGATTTCATTACATACAGGATGGGAGCATGATTTTAGGATGCACGGCACACTAAAATTCAGTGCGAAATCAAACCTCTTAATACACTGTGGCTAAAATCGCTACTAGTCCCTTTAAAATTTACCTTAAATGAATTGTTTTAAAGGCATTTTCTGCTATATTTGTTGAGTAGAGAGAAAATGGTTAGAAGATGGTGTTTATTAAACTGTGGTGATCTCACCGATACCATGCTTATTCAAATGCCTATGTAGACTAAAGGTGATTTTCATCCAGCTTTATGCATGACTGATAAGTGGATTTTTAAAATGAGAGTTCGTCACTCTAGGTCATGTAGGGTTGAATTTATTACAGTGAAATGAGCTAAAGATATTCTCTAGTATTCTCATATTCTAAATCTTCTTTATTTCAATCTAACCTTGCTCCCCAAAAGCTTTTGTCATTCAGAGCTTACTTCTTTATGGTCTCGGCACCTACGATATGCTAATATGGGCATTCCGCATTAGGTGGCAACGTTACTTCTTCTTCACACAGCTTTGGGTAATCTTGAAGAGTTGACTTTCAATGCAAACCAAGCCTTGCCTATACTAGAAGCCCATTAAAGAGGGCACGATTAACAATACACGAACTAGGCTGAAGCTGCAGTCCAGCCTGCAATTTCAGCCTCATTAGGGTGTCATTAATCGTTCTACTAAGTCACCCTGACAACAAGACCAAGTTGCAAAAACGAGGTCAACCCACTTCTTTCTCATTTGGTTGAATGCTAAATGTAAGTATTTTTCTAAGGCGACACTAGAAGCTCGAAAATGCAAGCTCCAAATTATTATTTTATGTTACCGCAGAGGTAGGTTGTCGACCATTTTTATCTGAAAAGAGTTTATAGTATTTCTTGACTTGCCTCTATTTCGTACTTCATCGAGGCTTGTTTGCCAAAATGAACGTGAAAGTGTAATGAAGTTGTTTGACCTTGTTTTTCGCAACTTGGT